AACTAGATGGTGCCCGGCTACCACCACTGACTGCTCTGACAGGGATCACAACAGAGGGTCCTGGACAGAGCTGGAGAAAAATGTAGAACAAAATTCCAAGCCACAAAAGGAAAAAAAGACCAGACTTACTGGTCTGTCAGAGACTGGAGAAACCCCAAGAGTATGGCTCCCGGACTCCCTTTTAACTCAGTACTGAAGTACTCCTGAGGTTCACCCTTCAGCCAAAGATTAGACAGGCCTATAAAACAAAACGAGACTAAAGGGGCACACCAGTCCAGGGGCAGGAGGGGTCAAGAAAGCTGGTAACAGGAAACCCAAGGTCGAGAAGGGTAGAGTATTGACATGTCATGGGGGTGGCAACCAATGTCACAAAACAATGTGTGTATTAATTATTTAATGAGAAATTAATTTGCTCCATTAACCCTAATCTAAAATACAATTAAAAAAAAAAGAAAGAAAGAAAATAGATCTGGGAAGATAGTGGCTGGACCAGATAGCCAACACTTATTCTTAAGGTGTTATAATTAAGACTTTACTCTGGTGACTTTTTAAAACGAAAGAAAGGATAATTAAACCTTATCAATCATTTGATGTAAATTGTCAATTTTAAAAACATTTACTTCTAATTGAAAATTTCAAAAGCAAGAAAATTCCTTTAAATATTAAATAATCCACTTCACATGTAAACAGAGCAAACCTTTTGGATATATGGAAATAGCTTGGCGACTATGTTGTCTGATAAGTCTTCAGCAGCCACCAAAGCAGACACGATGGTAGAAGCATAAAACGTCAACAGCACCCTCAGCTGAGCTGAGCTTCTAGGATACTCCGCAAAAACCTAAAACAAAGAACCCAAACAAAGAACACTTAAGAGAAACCAACTAGATACAAGTATGTACAAACATTTACGCACAGCTTTCTTGAACTACTCCGGTGTTGACATTTTAATTTTTGCCATATGCAACACCGAACAACACTGAACACAAACTCAGTGGTTCAATTAAGTATGACAAGGATGATCTGCTTCACAATCTTCCTAATATTTTCAGACTGTCTCTCTGTTTGAATAGTCATTGTAAACAGAATTCAGCAAGGAGGAGAATAATGTTTTTACAGAAAAACATCTTTTGATCATGAAAGACTGATTCTCAAACTGCTCATGCTCCAAAACAGCACAATTTTTTCAAAGCACCATTGTTATTAGGGAAAGCTTTAGTAAGTTTCTTTCTGTCACAGCAAGGAATCTTTTTAAGGAATTACAGGTAAGTCCCCAATTTACAATGTATTTAAGTTACGACGACCACACTTACTACCATTCCCTCATTTTTGTACATCTTATTGTTTGTAATATGTACTACATACAATGTTGCAGCATGTAATTTGCTGATGCTATCATTCTGACGTGTTCACTGGCAGATGTTCAACGTTACGATTTATTGATCAAAACCCTGCTGTATAGCAGGCTACGTTACAGCCTGGCCTACAATGAAGTCTGTGTCAGTGTCAGTGTAAGGAGTTGTAACGGAGAGAAAGTTGGGCAACGTTCAACTCTTATGACATATGACAACTGAACTGCGCGTGCGCCCGCAACTGACAGCCATTACAACTCCGACTTCATTGTTACAACACTGATGCCGACAGATAAAGATCAGATTTATAAAGATACTGATAATAAAAGACAGTAATAACTCAAAAAAAAAAAAGAGGTATTTGACTTATGTCAGAACCGACTTACGACGGAGTCGTCAGAACAGAACGCTGTCATAAGTCAGGGACTACCTGTACACATATCACTCACCTTCACAGCTTTTGTCACCAGACTACAAATGAAATCCATGAATCCAAGATCTTTGTAGCAGTGAGTAATCAAAGTTCCTTTAGCTAAGGGCACTCCAGATTGCTGTTAATGACAGAAAGAACAAGTGCTTTTGATCCAAATTCTTTAACTCTTCTTCTAATTAAAAATCTACCATTCCTTTCTTTTTATTAACTCTTATCACTGACCTCTATATCATCACCAGTAATCTTAACTCCTCCCAGTCTATTAGCCTACTTTCACCCCCATTTTCTCTCCTACCTAGCATGGATCATCTTGCTCAAAATTCAGTAAAGTTCCTGCTAATAACATACCTCTACTTTCCCATACTATATGTTACAGGACAAAGTGATAATGGAAAATCAGCTGGTTTTACTACAAAATCATGCTACGTGATCTTACCCAGACCCTTATGTTATGCAACCATCCTTTTATTGATCTGTAAATTACTTCCTAGCATCTTCTTCAAAACTTTAATAATTTCTTCAAGTCCTCAAATTTATCCTCGTCTTTTAAATTTTGGAGGAGTTTTCTGCTCTTCTTCACTTCCACTTTTTTTTAAACACTTCAGTTCCAAAATTTAAAATACCAAACAGCATGGTGTAGCTTTTGAATCACATCGAGATTCAAATCCCAACTCTGCCACTCTACAGTTATGTGAACTTTGGCAAGTAATTTAATTCTCAGAGCCTGTCCTCATCTGTAAAAACGGAGGAGTTTTGTGAGAATCCAAGATAGTATGATATAAATTGCCTAGCCTGTTGCAGATACTAACTAAAAGCTAGCTATAATTAATAATAATTTCAGCTGGAAGTTAGGAAACAAAAATGATGGTGGTAATACTCAGACTACCCCCAAAAAGCGTTAACAATTTTATTTTTTCTAAATTAACAACACTTAATTAAGGTTTATAAAGACTAAAGATATGTGTCATTCAACAATCATACCTTAACTGGCAACAACCAGAACCATTTGTGTTTAGAATTATTAATTTTTAGAAGCTGTATAACTCGCACAAATATTCTTGTCTCGTGGTACGGCAGAACACAAGCAATGAGGCTATCCTGATTATAAAGATGGATATGGAACCTGGGGAAAAAGCAAACAATTCAAACTGAACCAAAACTTATAGGCACATATTTCCTTACATGTCCAAATCTTATATCAATGAGCTAAAACAACTTAGAATGAATATCAGTAAAAACAACTGCATAACTATAAAATGACTGAGAACTTAAACTATAAGCCTATTTTTGGCATTTAAATGACCTCAATGTGGTTGTGGCAATTATCATGCAGTGATATTTTTGAATATTTAATGTCAAAATTTACATTTCATTCACTGTCACCCCTATCACATCAATGTAGCTGTGGGATCACTGCAGTCAAACCAACAGAAAAGCAACTGTTCACCCAGGTAGCAACACCCAGCTTCTTTCCAGACTCCAAAGTCCACTTTCAAAGCTTCCTCAGCTTTCCTAACTACTGTACTTCCAACACCAAAAGACCAATTAAAAAAGAAATCATATTACTTTCTTTGGATCATAATTATATGTTACATAATTTAAAAAAAAAAAAAAGCCCATTGTTGTTGAGTCGATTCCAACTCATAGTGACCCTACAGGACACAATAGAACTGTTCCATAAGGTTTCCTAGGAGTGGCTGGTGGATTTGAACAGATGACCTTCTGGTTAGCAGACAAGCTCTGAACCACTGTGCCACCAGGGCTCCATTACGTAATTACTACCATATATAATTTGTCCAGGAAATTCACAAAACTCTGTACCCATCCCTCTACCCTAACACCATCCCAACAGACACATTATAATCTTTCCAGGTTGAAGATATAGCTCAAGTGCCTCCTTTTCAAGATGCTTTTCCTAATTATCCCAGCCAAGCGATCCCTCTTGTCTCTGACCTCTCCTATCCTTTTATCTGTACCTTTCTTACAGTACCACGCTCAGCCGTTTATTGTTACTGTTAGCTGCTTTCGAGTTGGCCGCCGACTCATGGCGACCCCCTGGATTGGACCATTGTGATCCACAGGGTTTTCACTGGTTGATTTTTGGAAGTAGATTACCATACTTTTCTTCCTAGCCCAATGTAGTCCGGAAGCTCCACTCAAACCTGTTCAGCCTCACCGCAACACACAATGACAGACAAGTATGACTGCACGTGAGAGGTACACTGGCTGGGAATCAAACCCAGGTCTCTGCACGGAAGGCAAGAATTCTACTACTGAACCACCACTGCCCACTCAGCCTGTAAACATGTTGCATTCCCTTCGCACTTCAGAATAAGCAGAAACACATTAACACAACGAACGAACGAATGCCAAAGAACAGAAAACAAAACATAAAGACGCATTATTTGGAGGACTCATATTAGTCGCCTTTATTTCTTTTATTTTTTTGGTTTATATGTCTTATCTCCCTACCTGTAATTAGTAAGCAGCTTGATGGTTGATGAGTTGTGATGCCTAACATCCTCTCAAATGTTTGGCACAGTGCATTTCACATGGTTTGTATGAACTACTGTAGAAGTACTTGATAAATTGAGTCAGACATTGAGAGGAGAGTGGAATACTGAGTCTCTATACTTGGTATCTACCCAACAAATAATTTACATATGAATCTGATCGTTTTCTTGTACTGTCACTCACCAAACACACTGAACTTCTTGCTATTTCTCAAACTCACCACATCTTTCACACCACAATGACATTATGTATGCTTCTTCTTCATCTAAAATAACTCTTATTAGTAAACTTAGTCCTTTAAGTCCTAGCTAAAATGTTACTTTCTCCACAAAGCTTTCCTCAACTACTCCAGGCAGAGCTGGATCCCCAAAACTTTGCATGAACCTTTATTATGACATTTATTGCAAAACAGCAAACTAAAGGAGCCTACCTGTTACATAAATAATCAAATGAAAAAGTGTTTCTATTAATGATCTATTATTAATGATCTACTTGGGTGAAATTAAATGCTAGAAGACAGAGTGAAATATTAGACTTTTGAACATTATACTTTGTCCGATGAGTTTAATGTTCTGATAATCAGAAGATCCAAATTAATTGTTTTCTCAAAGACTCACTTTCTTCCTGAGGGAAATCACTTTATCCCCATGTCTCCAATTAATGAAATGGAAATCCTTCTACTTTTAAAACACATATATCAGGCTTCACATCCATTAGGATTGCTATTATCAGAAAAACTAAACAAGTGTTGGCAAGCATGTGGAGAAATTAGAGCCCCTGTCCATTTCTGGTAGGAATATAAAATGGTGCAGATGCTGTGGAAAACAGTCTGGTGGTTCCTCAAAGAGTTAAATACAGAATTACCATGTGACCCAGGAATTGTACTCGTAGGTATATGCCCAAAAGACTTGAACACAGACACTCAAACAGATATGTGTACACCAATGTTCACAGCAGCCTGTCACAACAGCCAAAAGGTGGAAACAACAGTGTTCATCAACAGATGAATGAGTAAACAGAACGTAGTATATACATATGTTGTTAGCTGCCGTCAAGTCAATTCCGACTCATGGCAACCCCATGTGTAGAACGGCTTCACAGGGTTTTCAAGGCAATGACCCTTCAGAAGCAGATTGCCAGGCTTATTTTTCGAGGCCTGGCAATCTGCTTCTGGAAGGGTTCGAACCACCAATCTTTCAGCTAGCAGTTGTCTGCTTAACTGTTTATACAACATACGGACTCCTATAATGGAATGTTATTCAGTCATAAAGAGAAATGAAGTCCTGATACGTACTACAACATGGACGAACGTTGAAAACATTATGTTAAGTGAAATAAGTCAGACACAAAAGGACAAATACTGTATGATCGCACTTATATCAAATGTCTAGAATAGGCAAATGCATAGAGACAAAAGTTTATTAGTGGTTACCAGGCGCTAGAGGAAGGGAAGAATGGGGAATTACAGCTGAAGGGGTACTGAGTTTCTGTTTAGTGTGATGAAAAACTTTTGGAAATGGTACTGGTGAAGGCTGCACAACATGGTGAATGTAATTAACGTCACTGAATCTTACACTTAAGAAAGTTACAATGACAAACTTTTTGTTATATATATTTTAACACGATAAAATTAAAACAGAAACAAAACATATATATTGGGAGAATAAACAAAAATGCGTAAGGAGATACCAATAAGTAAGAATACACCGAATAAACTTATGGAAACCATTTCCAAAGTGGACAGAAGATCAGACCTTAGAAATAAACTTGAGTTGTATACCATCTCTGCCACATACTAGTTGTGTGACTCAGACAACTTAACCCCTCTAAGCCTCAGTTTTCTCAATTTTAAAATGGAGATAATATAAGCATCTTCCCATTGGAATGTCCTGAGGATTAAGTGAGATAATGTGCACAAAGTGCTTACCACAGGGACTGGGGTATAAATGCTCAATACGTGTCAGCTATTATTGTTTCTCTTAAGTTACGGTACTTTAGAGAACACTGACACTCTCTCCCCAAAGCATTAGTTAGTTAACCCACAATTATTTTTGTAATCCCACTGCGTACCTGTGAATCAACCACTCCAGACACTTCTGTGCTGGCTTAAGCAGGAAGTAAGGGGACAAGTGAATAAGGAATAATGAAATGTTTTCATCCAGTTGTTTGTTCACAGCTTTGGTCTGAACGCTGCGCTCCAAAGTTTTTGCTAACTGGCTGAACAATGGTGCTTCAAACTGTTCAAAGGAAGGATTGAGTCCAAGCAGCTCTTCCAGGCCAGTGCATCCTAGGAAAACACTAGTTTATTTAATAATCCTTTGCAAGCAAAATCATCCTACGCCTCTTTTACAGTTTTAGTTGTTGTCACTTTCTGTCCCGTTGGTCCTCAACTCATGGCAATCCCATGTACAACAGAAGAACCACTGCCTGGTCCTGCAACATCCCCACAATTGGTTGTGGATCAGATCATTCTGATCCACAGGGTTTTTATTGGCTGATTTTCAGAGATAGGTCACCAGGCCTTACTTCCTAGGCCATGTGTCTGAAAGCTTTGCTGAAACCTGTTCAGCATCATAGCAACATGCAAGCCCCCACTGACAGACAGGATGGTAGCTGCACATGAGGTGCACTGGCCAGGAATCTATACCCCTAAACGAGTCTATATTCTTTCAGAACATATAATCTGTCCCAAACACAGATTTCTAGTTTCCAACACATAGAACAGATCTTATTTCACCAACTAAAGGAACAAAAAATACTTAATGGCAGAAACTATTCCTTTTTAAAAAATTATTATTGATACCCCTACTAGGCCAGTCCTCAGAGGAGAGGCCAGTCCTCTGGGAAGCCTCCTTCTCCACCCCAGCCACGCCCCCTCTTTTAGATATTCTTCCTCTCTAAAAACCAGTTGACCTCCCTGGCATTATTTCCTCACCTGTGAAATTTAGACACCTACATACATTTTAAGCATCTAGCACAGTACCTGGCACATGATAATTTGCTCAATCAACGTTAATTCTCTTAACAACGTAAGTGATCAAGTTAAAAACTGCTAAGGAAGAGGACAGACAGAAAAGAAAACATACCAACGTCCGGAAAACAAACGCTTCAAAGAGCTTGTCTAAGTTAAAGGGTAGCTCACCAATGGCAAAGGCGGTGTCCCTGTCGATGGTGGCCGCCTCCTTGGGGTCAAACAACAAAGATGCAACTTCCTCTCTAGACAAGAGACTGGGATCGCTTTGAGGGAGGGCGAGTCGTTGCAGCTGCTGAGCTAAAGACGTCATCTTTCATGCAAGGGGAAGAAGTGAATTTCTAAAAATACAGATTAAGAAACATAACCACCGTGAGTAGTCTCTAAATCTATAAGGTGGTTTAACTGGAAGCAGCAAATGCCTGCCGTATAGGAAACTTTTCTCTGCACTCAGCACGGTTGTGGACACATAACTAGCTGTCTCGGAACTTCCGGACCCCCGAGACGCAAACACAACGGCAACAGCAATTAGAACTCTTAACTACAGCCCCAGGGTGGCGTCAAAACTTTCTTCAGCCTTGTCTCCGCAGATACCGGTAAACCCACGGACGTTTCACTCTCCCTCGGTTCCCCGCCCCGATCCACAGCCCCATCAAGCGGCTCTTTGCCCATTCTCACCCCGAACTCGGACTTCAAGCAGGGTTTAGAAGACAACAACTCTTCACGACAGCACCCACATGGTACCAACGAGCCCAGCTCTCGCCCGGAAACATAAGACATGTTTCAGAAGAGCTTCCGGTTTCAGGGCTACGGCAAGAGAAGAGGTACAAGTTTGCTGGAAATGCGACAAGATGGCCACCTCCTTGCGGCGAGGCCCCGCCCCTCCGCCCTCCCCTCCTATTGAGGCTTCAGGTCTCCTCCGCTGGGTCCAGTGGTCTGCGCCGGGGCATGTGGTCCGAAGGTCTCGTTCTATAGGTGGGCCTTTTGTGAGCTTTAAGGATCTGTAGCCAGAATCATTCTTTCAACAAATACTTAAATGCAGTTTTTACTGTGTACTAGCAGCATCGCGGAGCCCTGGTGGCGCAGTGGTTAAGAGATACGGCTCTTAGGCTGCTAACCAAAAGGTTGGCAGGTCAAATCCACCAGCCACTGCTTGGAAACCCTATGAGGCAGTCCTATTCTGTTCTCTAGGGTCGCTATGGGTCAGAATCGATTCGACGGCAACGAGTTTAGCAGCATCGCGTAGTAGTTAAAAGTATGGGTTGTGAAATTATGTTGCCTGGGTTCAAACTCAAGCGCTAGCGCCTATCGGTTGTGTGATGTCTACTGAATTATTTAAAAGTCTTTCCGCGTTCGTTAATTTTTCTTTGAAGTATAACAGGCTGGGAATTAATGAGATGATGCTACTCATCCCAGAGTCCGACACACTGCCGGCGGCTCAATAAATGGACATCACCATCATGATGTTTGGGGGCATCTCGCCCCTCGGCTGTGTTTGCATTCCTGGAGGACACGTACTGTACTTTTATTCTTTTCAAACCAACTTTGTTAAAGCACGGTTAACAAACAATGAATACACCTATTTTAGTTGAACGGTTACGTAGATTTTAACAAATTTATAGGAGTCCCTGGGTGGTGAAAACAGTTAAGATTAACTAATCAAAAGGTTGGAGGGCTAGTCCATGCAGAGGCACCTCGAAAGAAAGGCCTGGCGATCTACTTCAGAAAAACCAGCCACTGAGAACCCTATGGAACACAGTTCTATGTGGCAGCTGGTTTTTGGCTATATAGGCGTAACTATCTCCCTAATCAAGACATAGCATATTCCCATCACCCCAAAAACTTCCCTCTTGACCCATTACAACGACTCCCCACTCCCCACTCCGGGCCACAGGCACCCACCGGTCTTTGTGTCACTGAATAGTATTACAATATGTGGGCAGACCACATTTCCTAAGCAATGTAATGTGTGCTACCCTGGCCTCTCAGAGAATCTGCACCAGAGCAGTGATGTTGGATATTCTACTATCTTTTCCGGATGCTTTCATTTCTCTCAAGAGATGTAGTGCTCCAGTGCCAGGGCATCAGTCTTTCCCCAGGTAACCCTCTTATTCCTTGGAGAGTGTTGGAAACACAGTTATAAATTGGAAAGCTCCATTTTTTCACGCTCCGTTCAGAGTCTCTCCCTTTTACTAACACAATATTTTGTTGTTTTTTTTTTACAACATTTAAAAATGTCTTCAGTTATCTCTACAGATAGTTAATAATCTCCTTTTTCATGTGGTATTGATTGCCTTGTAGAGAATAACATGATTTTTAAGTGCTGGCAGTATCTATTTTATCCTTACATAAAGCTCTCTCAAAGGAATTTCTTTGTCCTTCCAAGTATCACAGGGATTTTACCTTTACAAAAGCAAGGAGCTAAGGTATTTAGTAATAAATGAAAACCAGGCCTATTTTATTCACAAAACACATTTGCTCCTTTGCTTTTTAAAGAAAAAACAAAAACAAAAAAACAAAACCATAATATATTTTAAAAGCTCTGTCAAAGTGAAACTAAAAAGTGCTGCAAGTTTTTGGTTCAACCCTTTCTCTGCCAGCTCCAATGGTATGTGGTGCCTTACTGAATTTACTTTGGAAGTAAGCTAGGTAAGTAAAACAGAAGACAGATCAGAGGATGATAAATATGATTATTTTTAAAGCTTTCGTTTGGAAAAATATATAATGACCTCTAATTTTAACTTTTTCTCTTTAAAAATATTTCTTTGGCTTTATTCCTGATTATTGCCTCATTGTCTTTTGTGATTCTATGCCCATCTCAGTTTGATTATTCAGTCTAGGACAAAAACAAACTTCCATTCTCAGTTGTTGTTTGAATTTAAAATACCTGTTACAGATGGTATGTAGCTCTACCATACTCCTGTCTAGTAATCTTTTCGTGGCTTTTGCTATTTTGTTGTTTTTAGTTGCTGTCCAGTCAACGCCAACTCATGGCGACCTTATGTATAACAAATGAAACCTTGCCAGTCCTATGCCATCTTGGTGATTGTTGGTATGTTTGAGTCCATTGTTGTGACTGTTGTGTCAGTCCATCTCACAGAGGGTTCGCTCATCTTGCTGACCCTGTGTTTTGCCAAACATGATGTCCTTTTCTAGCAATTGGTATTTCTTGATGATGTGCCCCAGGTAAGCCAGCCAAAGTCTCGCCATTCTTGCTTCTAGTTGTATTTCTTCTAAGACTGATTTGTTCGTTCTTCTGGCAGTCCACAGAATATCCAGTATTCTTCACCAAGAGTACAGTTCAAATGCATCAGTTCTTATATCTTCTTTTTTTATTGTCCACCTTTTTCGGGTATATGAGATGATTGAAAATACCATGCCTTGGGTCAGATGCGCCTAATCGTCAAAGTGCCATCTTTGCTTTTTAAAACTTTAAAGAAGTCTTTTGCAGCAGATTTGCCTAATGCAATACAATGTTTGATTTCTTGATTGCTGCTTCCATGGATGTTGATTGATAATCCAAGTAGAATGAAACTATTGACAACTTCATTTTTTTTCTCTCTCCATTTATCATGATGTTGTTTATTGGACCCAGTTGTGAGGATTTTTGTTTTCCTCACATTTAGGTGTAATCCATACTGTATGCTTTTAGTCTTTGACCTTCATCAGTAATTGGAACGTGGATTGTTTGCTATTTTATATTTATTAAATCCATAATTTTAGGCAGACTCTACATAAAAAAAGCAAAATTTTAAGAGAGATTTGAATGAATAAGTTTTTTTTTTTTTAAGAATATTCTCCCTCTCCCCCTTGCCCCTTTTAATCCAGAATAGAGATACATTCCATGTTTGCTTTATGCCAGGATGGGAATAAGGTGGTGAACGAGACAGATGAGGGGGTGGGGAGTTGGAGGAACTTGTCAGTTTAAGTGGTTGGCAAAGGAGGCTCTGAGGAGTGGGCATTTAAGGTGAGACCTGAATAACAAGAAGTCAGGGAAAAAATGGGAGGAAGATCATCCCAGATAGGACTGATCTTGACATTTATTCTACTCCAATCACAACCAATCCTTTCTGTCCACCAAATATAGCTTCTATTTTCTTCATAGCACTTACCACTACCTGAAGTGTTTTGATGTCTTTGTTATTAACCTATTTATCTCTTGTATCCCCTCACTAGAACACTGGCTTCCTGTAGGCTGGCAGGCCCATCCCTAATATTTCTGGAGCCTGGGCAGGAGTGCAAGTGGAGACTCACCTGCTGTAGGTCTAAATATTGACAATTTATAAGTCAGCCTAACACACTGTTAACTGTTGTTATTTGCCATCGAGTTGATTCTGACTTACGGCGACCCTATGTACATGTGTAGAGTAGAACAGTTCCGTAGGGTTTTCGAGGCTGTGACGTTTCAGAGGCAGATCACCAGACCTACCTTCCCAACTGCCCTGGGTGAGTTCAAACCACCTTAGTAGTTGACTGCTTAGTCGTTTCCACCACCTAGGGACTTGCTACTATTAGGTAGAATATACGATAACCTCTAACTTTCACAAATGAACATTTATAATGACCAAAAAAACTTTTTTATATGACTGAAAACTAATGAAATATAAAAAATTACTGAATTTAATTGTTATTATACCTGTCTGGGTATTCTGTAGATGGGCTGACAATTTTTGGATAAGTAAAAACGGCATGTATAGTTAAAATATTTCCTATGTATTTAACCTGTAAAATTTTGCATTCATTTCAGAAAAATCACCAATTATTCTGTTTATTCAAGATTTTCACATAAGTGTGTTCTGTTGACTAATGGTCGAAAGGATTTAAAATAAAATCTAATTATATTCAAGGTATACAGCATTTGAATATATTTCCATTAAAAATATAAATTAAGTAAAAAATCAATGCATTAAATATATTTTTCATTTGTTTTCAAAGGCGTTATCTTTATTCTAAGAAGACAAAATACAAATTATAATTGATGACAAAATTCTAAATAAAATTATTTAAATAAAGCTAAAGTTTTATTTTTTTTTAATAAATATTATCATTGTTAGTTGTCGTGGAGTTGATTCTGACTCATGGCGACCCTACGGGTATCAGAGTAGAACTGTGTTCCACAGAGTTTTCAAGGCTGTGACCTTTTGGAAGCAGATCACCAGGCATTTCTTCCAAGGCACCTCTGGGTAGGTTCAAACCTCCAACCTTTTGGCTATTAGTCAAGCACACCTTATTAAATATTTATATAAAAAATGAATTATTCTCAATTTTAGCAGTCCATGTCCATCTAGTCACCAATGTAAAGAATCGATATCACCCTTCATGTTATATCTTGTAGTGGTAAAACACTAGGTTCACACTCTGCTACTAATAAAACAAAGAGTTTTGTTAAAGGATGAAAAATGTTTCGTGAAACAGGGAGATAGACAAGCACCCAGGTAAGTGGCTGCGGTGTGTGTTGTGCATCACAGAGAGAGAGAGAGCAGTTTCTATCAGGTGACACAAACAAAGCTGTGCCCACAGGTACAGAGGCGAAGGGGAAACATGGCAAAAAATTATAAGGGGTCTGTTAAACTATAATCTTAAACATAAATCTCTAAGCTAACATTAATCTCTCATCTCCTGGATAATGCTTGACTAAGACATTCTTCTCAGCTTTAGTAAGTCTATTTGCTACATTCTAAGATTTGTTAGACAAAGCATTCTGTCAGGGATAACTGAGTCAATTCTCCCTCACAGCTGCATTCTTAAGGTAACAGGCTTCCGTCTTTGCCTTGGTTAGAATTCTACAAAGAGTCGTTAGAAATGGAGCAGAAGATCTCAGTGA